TACTCCGAATTTTAAGCTAGAGTTAGCACGTCCAATTGAGAAAGTTTTCCACGTACGGAAAATTAAAAAGGCGACATCATCCAGCGCGTGCACTGCTGGTTCGGGCCTTTTCTGGTCATAAAACATATCCCGAGAAATCGCCTTATGGATACAAGACATTAATTATAGCCAAATAGATTGCTTCCGCATGAGTGTGTTAATGAAGATTCACTGAAGTCAAGTGATGCGGCGCGTCATCCACAGTACGCAGCTTATGCCCTCTTCCCTGGAGTAATTAAGTGCACAGAGAACAACACATTTTACAGCCTGATTTCCCAGACGTAGTTTACCACATCTGAACCAGTTCACGACTACGAGCATTAATTACATACAAAACCCTCTCAGTTGCCTACACGGATGACTTAATTCCAAGCCACTTGCCAGGATGGGACATTATCACCTCTCCCTGAACACAACTTCATTCCTCTTCCCACGACCATCGCCTGGTTTTGCGAAACACAAACGCCTTACCCTCTCTGGTAAGTTCGATCGAAGAACTTTCACACTTCTTAGGACTAGTTAAGTTGCGTGCTTTCCGTAGTGCGGATCTTTTTTGCTTTACACGGCCAGATGTGGTTCGTCATCCACATTTTGCTGTCTGGGTTTGACTGATGTAACGGTTATCACTTTTAACTTGCAAGAGTGATGCTATCCCTATCATCTGAGAGTTCACATTTGCCTCAGCCACAGTTAGCCGCCACTACCCCAAAACACCGTTTGCGTTTTATACCGCCGATTTCCTAGCATCTGCCATATTTGGGTCGTGCCTATTTCTCCGATATTTGGGCGCCCGTAAATGACACTCACTTGACCCTTATTTTAACTCAATTATTATGATAGTACCCAACTGGTTTGCCATCCGTTATTTTAGAATACGCGTTAATCTTATTATGATGATATTGATCAACACTAGATTAAAGCCTGAACGGCTGAACACCGACCTGAATACCGGTTAAAAACAGATGGTTCTCGCTTCCGGATCATAGTCGAGAGGTTTTTCCTTTATGAAGCACGGTGCTCATGGTTTTGCCATTGCAAGTGATCAGCTATAACTGCCAAAGTATTTACAACAGTTGATAAAATATTACCGTTTGTCCTATCACACCAGAGGGCGTTGCCACCGATCATTTATGCCGGTGTGTTTTTAGAACCAACTACGTCAATGATTGTGCGTATGTCCTCTGGCAATTGCCAGCGAGATGTGCGACTCAACACGTCAGGGTATCAGTGACAATATGATTCGATAAGATATACAACAGCACGAACGACCGGATTTGTGCCCAACAATGACCATGCTGGGAACATAAGATAAACCCACCATTCAGCTGCAGCCAAGCGGAGCAGTCTTGCAGCTAACAGAACAACTCAAAGAACTAGAATTAATACCCATCAGGATCACTGTGCTCTGTTCCGCGCGCTACGTCTTGGAACATTATGACCTAGCTTTTTGTCTGGGTTACGCGATAACAACACAGGTTATGGATATAAACACACTACATGTGTCATTGCAGACAGTTACTCAGAATCATGTGGATCATTAAAATGTTCAATTAAAATGGACTCCAAACCACACCAGATTTGGAGGACTGTGCTATATATGAGTGAAACATTTAGGGCCAGATATTGCAATAGCTGACTAAACGTAAAGCAAGCAAGGGGAATGGAAAACCATTATCTATGAAAGCTTCAGGAGGTTGTTCAACACAGCTCAAAATAGCCTTAAGCAACCATAAATCAGCAAATCGCAAACTGGTGTGGTTACCATCTATCCGCTTGCACGGTTTTTGGGAGGCTCACTTGAGTAGCTCACCCTCTATTACTCTGTCCATTTCTTAACCCCCATGTGCCCACAATCCACAACAACCGTGCTTTAATTCGGACTGTAACATTATGATCATGCCTAACGATATGCCACCCACAAGTTGGGAATAAACATTATTATTGCTATTATTATAGCAATCCTTGAATGAATTCCGCAACCACGAGCTGATGCGCATGTGGACGTGCTTGTGTCCTGTGAACCAAGATCTGCACCCAGGCGAGGTAAGCGGCCGACGACGAAAGTTTGTCCTTTAGTCTTGATTTATACGCTAAAAGCACAATCGAACCTGCAGGCAACCAAAACACAGGGGAAGGTATAAAACGTCAAATATGCCCAATATGCTGTTGAAAAAGTCAGGTTGACGGGCTGTTGGGGTTGAAAAGCGGATGGTTTAATGGAGCTGAAAATGAGTTATGCCAACTTCTGAGCAACACTTCCAAGTTTGCCAACACGATATGCTAAGCAGCTTATAAATCCTCTTTCATTTGACTAGCTTGAAGCTAGACAGCACTGGTCATCCCTGGTGCCTGAAGAAGGTAGCGCCGTTGGCGTAGCCGATCGGTTTGATCCATTGGACAAGCGCAAATGACCCATCAATACTCGAAAGTTGTGGGTGGGCACTTCGTTTCTTCATTCTGGATTAATTTTCACTCCGATTGATTCGTGTTCTTCTTATAACTAACCTGACTTCTACACTGACTGGCACATTTTGAATTTTGGAAACGTAGACCAAGTCAAAGCTCAACTCTCTCCTTTCCATTGTAAACGGGCCGCGATCTTTCAACAAACATTACTGCTATCAATAATCAGTGTGAAAATAAGACAGGCGAAAGGAGCGTGTACCTTTACTAAAATTAGCGCAGTAATGAACAGTAGATTCTCCATGCCAAGCATAGATGAAAAACTAAAGAAGTATAACCGCCAATTTTAGACCTGTCCCTTATGGTCTTTGCATTCGTCGACCTGATGCCCATGCACCTAGACAGCATCTTGGCATCTTGTCTGGGTTAAACATTCCGCTATAGCAATTTGTGCTTCCCCGGTATACGAACTAACGAATTAACGGAGTCAGGCCCCGGGATTGGCCGCTAATACCACAAACATAGGTCACCTACAAGCATATGGTGTATGAATGCAATTTTATTGCAGGTCTGGATTAAGTTGGCGGGCAAAGTAGAGTCCGCCCGCCTCTTGTAGCTTCTTTTGATTAGCCTGCAGAGAATGTTAGAGTGCAAGACTGAATTTCATGGGGGCTACGTGAATTATTCTTTAATTTTAGAATGCACACTTAGAGTTTTCCAAAGGTGCTTGTGAATGTTAATGTAGGATGGAGCTAAGCATTTCTATCGCCATAAGGGATGAAAATACGCTTGGTCACAATGAAATCCACCGACGATTTCTAGAACAACTAACGATTTTCAGCTATGGAGGTGGCTTCCAAATAATCATGGCAAACACCCGCTACTGACGGCTTGCGTGCAGTTCAGAGACGAATATTCAAAATAATCAAAATAAAATCCAATTAATCACTAGCAAACTGGATTTACAAGTTTTCCATGTGAAATGGTGACAAGTCTTGAAAAGGGCGAGAAATTACAGCGCCTCTAAAAGAGAAAACTATTAGCGTCAGGACACAGTGGGGTTCGAGTTGGACGACCATATACTACCAGCCTGCTTTCAACCATTGCAAAGGTGTGCTAGAATGGTCAACGCGAGCAACCAGACTTATGTCATACCTGTTGATCGCGTGCAATATCTGCAGCCCTGAAATATCATCTTTTCGTCAGGGTACAAATTTAGAACAGAAGTATGTCGAACGTCAAATTAAACGATATTAACCGACTCTGCCCTCCAAGGGTGGAGCAGGCATGAAAACGGGAATATTTCTCAAGGACTCACTAAATTTCTGCCTTATGTTTAATGAGGGAATGAAACTCTACGAAGTTCCTACGGTTGCAAAGATTTTGATGTTATTCAGACACCTTTCAGCGTTTTCCATGCTTGTCCCAATAATGGTACTGAGAGAAATGCTGCGATTTATATCGACCGGCCGTAACCACGTAAAAAATCAGATTGGTGACTACCAACCAGTGGAAAAAATAGGAGATTTAAGTACAGGCATGACGCCGGATACAAAATCAGCTATACCCTCTTGAAATAGCAGTGTCACTGGTATCAAGCATGTATGGCCAATTCAAGACGTTCCACCGGATTAGGTCTTGGATCTATATCTCAGCCCTTATATTACTGTTGTCATGTGACGACTAGCGATATTTGGGAGCATTCACTTTGGTCCAGAATGATAGTGTGCTCTTGTAACCCAAATCAAGCACGGCTATTTTGCAGGTGTCGTATTCATTCAGTAGATACACCTTGTAACATGACGGAACGAAAGGATGGAAGAAGGGTTGGTTGGATGTTTCTCCTTAACTGATGTGATCAGGAAGAAAAAACAGAAATTCAGGTTGTGTAAGCAGGGGAGGTCTCCCTTGAAATGTTCCGTTATACTTCCCTGATATCAGCCAACTCAGTGAGTGGTGCACCGGAGGATGTCGCCGCCGTCGAATCGAGGCAAACAGTTTTTAACAATTTGAGCCAGAATTCTGGAGGACAAAGATCATTTACCAGCTCTAAAGCCCGAGACAAAGAATGACCATCGCTCCAGAGTCAGAAGGAAAAGGGTCCACACATCCGGCTACGGCTGACCGATGACATGTCAAATTTATCTAACCCCCCGCCTTCCACAACATATAGGGCCAAACATTCCATCCATTTTGTGATGCACACTGGTTATTCCCCATTTTTGCATGCCTGTCACCCATTTACACTTATGCGTTTTTGGTTTCGTGACATTTTTCGCGGCGACATTCACCCATACTTTCCGTATGGCATTGCTTATTTGAAGGGTTCGAGGAATTGTATCCTACCGTCATTCCTTTGGACGGTTAAGCTGCGCTTCGAATGATTCGGTCAGTGGTTTGGAGTCAAAGTGAAGTAAATACCACCTCCGTGCAATTTTTTCTAATGTACGTACAACCGAATACAAACACACGAACTGAAAACATTGTGCTTTTACTGAATCAAACTGAACCGAAACCATAGATTTGTCTCAAGTGATCTTTTAAAGTTTAAGGCCGTGATGGGATGCACACTAAGTCGGGCAGCTGAATGGACATCAGCAAGAGGAGGATCGTCAGGAAAACTCTCAAGCTCGTCCATTAATAACGCTATACTGGAGGAAGCTGTCTACTTTCTAAAAAACTATCAAACCACCAACCCTGGTGCACAGAATCTTGTTTTCAAAAATGCCCTGAAGTGGAAAACTAGCTTATTACCACAGGATATGAAGGGATTCACAATAACGTAAGCGTGGTTAGATTTGTCAAACTTCTACAGGAATGATGGGGCGATATCTTCTTCGATGGATCCAGTAGGAGAACCTCTGGCCGGTCTACGTGCACTGAATACCGGGGGTTTCGAAATTTATGTGAGATCTCTGCAAGAAAGTGTAAAGATAATAAATGCAGCAGGGTCAAGAGCCCTAGCTGAGGCTCGTGCATGTCTGGAAAGTGAGGCCTTGCGAAACAGAGCAAATGCACAAAATTTATAGACAACCCTGACCCTCTTGTTAATATACTGGGGGACAAATTCTCGTCATCTGCCATATCGGTAGATGATTCTATTTTTGGGTTAATGGAAGAGATAATCAGCAATACGAAAAGTACTTCTAGTGTCTGTTCGCTGAATTATTTTGCTTAGATAGCGAGGAGGCAAAAGAAAAGAAAATTTCCCTTAAATTAGCCCTGGACCTCCATAACTTTGATATGAAGTTGATGAATGATGCACTCCAAAAGTTTTCGAAGTAGGTTCTTGAGAAGTTTCGATGTTTCTTAAGGGAAATCCGCCAGTCTCCAGAGGCCGTTGAACATGAAATAGAAGTTCTTGGAAAGGCTTTATTCACCGGGAAACCTGATAGCATTTTGGATTACATTCGTCCGACAGGAGGTGAGCTGTAAAATAACTGCTAATGTCTGTCAGAATGTACTGATGTTCCTTCGCGAATGCACTAAAACCGATGCGTGTATCTTTGGTAGTACAATTACAAAGGTCTATTTTTGGGTCATGGGTATGGTTCGAAATTTAGGCGCTTTGCTTAGTCCAATGTAAACAAATACCAGTGGTGACGTGCCTAAAATAGACGAAGCGGAAGCGAAAGGACTAATGCGACCAAATTTCTTTCGTCACAAAATGGATAGTATCTGCTTTTTAGTTAATGTGTGCTGATTGTTTGCAGGCGGATCGTTTTATTCGAAACCGTTTTTAGTTGGTGGCACATATGTTGCCCTGAAATATACGCAGTGGATGTGGAAATATTCTCATCAGATATAAATTGGCTTAGCTTCGTCCCCGAAAGTAAAATCAGTGCAGTACAGAATATGTGCTTTACAAGCAGGCAGATCATGACGTTATTTAGGTTGCTGTGTAACTTGAGAAGGATACTCAGTAGCTGATACGACTGATTTGAGTTTCAACAAGAGATGGGAGTAGCTTTCAGCTGAAAACGGAAGCATCCACTGGATCCATTCAAAACAGTTTGGCATGTGATGATTGGAGGCTGGTTACATGTTGACATATGGTACAGCTTGCGAAAGGTACCGGCTGCAACCTAGGGCCCACGAAGAAGGATTTCAGGATTTAACAATTGAGATTTTAAAATCCCTTTTAAAGCCGGTAGAAAAATGATCTATTTGATTCATAAACCGTGAGCAGAACATTCTACTCTGGTTATCTTTTATTCTAGTGTCAATGAAATTTCACGTCAAATACATGAAGGAAACTCATTATTAAACTTTGTTCAGCATGAGCGTGACAGATGCCGTAGTCCATAAACATCACGCACCGCATCTGGTGCCGTGGGTCACAGTACCACCAAAAAATGTTTTGGCTTGGATATCCAGAATATATCTGGTTGTGTATGGTTCGTATAGTCAGGAAATCTCAAACCAGTCCGTTGGTTGTCGTTAACGTTATTCTTTTTAGTCAGGTTTCCCTCTGAGAAAATGTGTTCTTTGATTGATATTTCTACCATAGGTAACTTGTCTTGTCACCCTGATGGTAATTTCTGATATGATATCCGGAAGCTCTCCTTCTTGTATAATTTGAACAACACTAATTATTACTGGTTTTTATGGACTACCGGTGAATCACCCAAACAGGTTTATTTTTCCATCGCAAAATTGTGATAAAATTTTATTTGCGGTTTGCTAAGAGACTCATCCTTTAGTCAGGTCTACAATGCGTTAAGAAAAGTGCTAAGATTCGGCTTAGAGAAACCCTACTCTTTATTTATCTTCATCCTGTTACCAACGCATTCTCCACCTTAACTTGGTTTGTCTATGAAAGATAGAAAGTTCTACTAAGGTGGGCGGAATACAAATGCGCAGAAATTCCGATGAACATTAATATATGGAATTGGAAGGTTTACGCATAAGTGGATTATGCTGTGGGCTTGCCTATTATAAACCAGACAACATGGAATTTGTATCTGAACTGTTTGTTTGTTTTGCAATCATAAAAATGCAGTATTCACCATGATCCATGAAAACGGTTGCCGGGCTCCACCATGGCGCCAAATGCACGGTGATATCGCCTATTTCGAGGTGGGCATACGCAACCCAAGGTCCGAGTTGTCCGTCACGGCAGCCACTTACGGATGGTTCCCGAATGGAGTGAGTGTGTCATTATATGGTGTATAACCGGTTTAGCTGACTGTGTAACCGTGTTTTCAGTAAAGGAAACTACTCAGTACTTTGATCATGGTTGATATTCTGAAAGATTTTTTCGCCTACGTTTTCATTCCCGCGAATTTCTAGCACTAGGTTCTTGCACACTTGACTGCCGGTTCACTACCAGACATCTTGAACTAGAAGCATTAATGTTTTCTAACTTTCAAGGGATAGATTTTGCATAAACCGAGGCTCATATACCGGATCTAGACAAATTATCACGGACTCTGAAGGTTTTCAGACATCATCAGAGTTTTTTGGGAATTATATTTACTACTACCGCTACTACCTTATCGCCGTTATGACTCCGCAAGACTGGAATCAGCCGGACTGCCTTATGCAGATGACTGCAAAATTTGCGAGGCCTTTACTTCGAAATTAACTTTACCAATACACTGTTGCACTAGAACATTAAACCTGAAAATGCCAGTGATGCAAGCACTGCTGACTTTTGCGATGAAATGTTTACAGGGCTACTGCAGTGTTATGTAAGCAAAACCATAGTGATAAAAGTGGATACACTTGTGCAAGTCCTTATCAAAATTAAAAATAATAAGACTCTGTCTATGACTACGTCTGCATTGCTGTTGAGCCCAATTTATTTCCGAATATTTAGATGTATCCGGTATTAATCCTTCCAAAAAGCAACATGAGCACCGTAATAAATCCGTTCTTATTCGCACTCAAAGGGCTATAATCAAAAGACCGGACAAATGAATTTCGATAGAGTTGGTGAAGTGTATCCCAGACTGGTGAACTTACTACAGGCAAACAGTTCATCCTTCTCCGAATTTATGAGAAATGTAAACCTGAACAACTTTGCTGAACATTCTCCGAAATCGAGCTCACCTGAACCGATGGTGCAAAAAAATTCAGGGAGTCAGAAGGATGATTCCAAATTATCACAATCACAAACAAAGGCAGGTACTGTTGAAAAGGCAAAAAAACGCCCAATGAATGAGTTGCCAGTGGTTACGCAGCCCAGTCAGAGGTGGCAAACCGTTGGACTTCGATCGACTCATGTCCCGAAGAAAGCTGTTACAGAAGCATGCGGTGATCAAACAGCTGTGAGGTAGGTGGGCAGTTTAAATGCACCAAAATGAGTACCCACAGTTATAAGGCATACCAAATAATGCGAAATGAAGTACCATATCATGATTTTATTTAAAAGAAGTCTTTGTCGTGCCCAATATGATTTAGAGAAATCGTGAAAAAATAATTTAAGGGACTTAAATGTACAAATGACTTAAATGTATCTGCTCGGCCGCTATAGGTCCATTTTCCAATCAAGTTTTGCTTCTCTCTATTGTGGAGTTCCATTTACAAACTAGTTTTATACTTTCGAGTTACGAATGTTGGAAGCTGGTTTTTGTTTTGCCAATGATAAAACAGTTGCCTGCGAAGCTGCACATTCTTAGTGCTTAATCTATTACCATTGATAATGTTTACTAGAAATTCGATTGTTGATATTTCATCCACCCATAATTCGTGAATGAGGCCTCTTTCTCTAACACACACTGCAACTCATAGGAGGATGGTAGTCAATAAAATACCATTGTAACAAGGGTTTGAAAAGTAATTTTTTTATACAACAAACACTTTGGCATATTCTGTCGCGCTTTCAGTTTAACTGGGAGATAGTCTGAAAAAGCTGGGACAATAGGCCAAAATAAAATTGCACACCTCAGTTCACCAGGAGAGTGTCTCATTAACAGCTTTGTACTTGGTTATACCACAGGTGACAATTGGTATACTTTAATGTCCACTGAAGTATTCGAAAATATACCAAGTGTCTTAGTATATAAAGGCTGTTAATGCCAATAGCTGTAAGATTATTCAGTTCTGAAATTTAAATGGCACAGAGAAGTGGTAGCCTTAGCTAGTTATTTATTCGCGAGATTTGTCCAAAGGTGCTGTTTACACTTCACACGTTTGAGTTCCTCATAAAGGATTACGTGGAAACCAAAAAACTTCAAGCACCCGTGGAAAACAGATCTAGGCTAGACAGACTTTGGTCTCTGACAAGAACTTACACATACCCGGTTGCTCAGCTTAGAAGTTCATCGCGTACGCATCCTCATAGATGAAAAGTGAACACACTAAAGGTAAAACCTGAGTGCTGAATGCCAGCACTTTTCAAATGCTTGCCATATTTTGCTCATTAACTGATGCATGGTCGAAGCAAAATGCTTGCTTTTCAGATCTGTCCAGTCTTCCGTGCGGCGTAAAGGTAGAAATCGGTCATCGGCCAAGGAGAACATGAAGTGAGTTGGCAGTCTTTTAGAAACAAGGGTAGAAGTGATTTAGATAGCTGTCTCTGACCTCTAGGTAAGTGCACAAAAATTAAATGGTTTAACTACTAGGCTGAAAACACCGGAAAATAAAGAGTGAATATTAGCACCAGTTCTTATGTTGATGCCAAACTTCACGCTTTATCCTGGGTGATGTCTGTCATCTTTTATTCTTCATCGCAATAAAATGCTTACCACAAAGGGACACGATCTAAGTCGGATGTCAGAATACTCTAATCCAGAATCGCATGATGAAATGTGAAGACCAGCTGTTTAATGATCGTGTTCTATTGATGAACAGACGTTGATCTTATTTTTTCAACCAAACTCTGAATTTGTGTTTTAAATTTCTAGTAAAGGGGAAAGAAACACTGTTTATCTACAAGACCTATAAAATGCTACTTAATTGTTTCCATCAATATGTTTCGTCATACAGTAGTCTCGGTCAGCACAGCTATTAGCAACCCTCAATTTTTCCAGCTGCCTAATGAAACAAGACACTGCTAACACAGTTTGCCCTATCCTTTAGGAAGGAGGCTTATGTGCCTATCAGACACTAAAATTTTTGGCAGCAGTAAAATGTCAGAGCTTCAACGTTAAGGTTTAAGGTATCTGTAAAAATAACATTCTGGGGGTGACTACATTAGCCATAATTTTGAATGAGAGGAAACCTAATAATTCAACCTAGGCGACAGATTAAACGTTTTGATATAATAGACAGGTGAACTGGACGGTTTACCTAACGCATAGTTCCGATCATCAGTGAATGACAGAAATGAAACATCAACAGCTTAGACTGAGAAGAAAATACCTTGAGCTGGTTAGCAAATTTTTCGCTGGTGTGCGTGCCAGTTTGGCTAAATAACGAAAGGACGGCGATCAATGCCTAGGCTAGTTGACGAAAGACTACGCTGATAATGAATTGTGGAACACCCGATCTCTAATGGCCCATCACTGTTGGTTATCCATGCCAACCTTGTATACAGAGCGCTCGGCGAGCCTTGTTACAACATTCATCTATGGACCTTCTTGTAGACAAACAAATTATGTAATTGAGCTGCGCCAAAAAATTCAACACGGGTTCTCACTTCTTTATGGACTACTGTCTAGCTATAAAAGGTACTATGTGCTCCAAGTGCCATGCAATGTGTCCCATCATGCTTAAACGGAAACTGAAAAAGCTACTTCGTCATGCAATGCAAGAACTACTTCGGACAGTAGAATAAACGGCAGAACTATAGAGAAATAAGACCAGATGCAGAATATCTCATCATGTTTGTAGGCAACAAGGAGCACTAAGCTCTTCGGTCAGATGACTGACAGTCAAATGGCCCAGCGACGTTTGCTTGTGCGGTGGGAAGGGGTTGGGGAGGGACATCGGTGGACCCTGAACTGCGCAGGCAAATGCTACTTCCCGGTTGCCCAGGCCGAGGAAGCTGGTTTGGTTGAGCTACCCCACCTAGAGCCTTCGACTCAAAAGTTTGACCCACAAGGAGGTGGGAGGATGTAGAGTTTTGTTCGGGGACCCTAACCCCAGCCTCTGACCCAAAAGTCTGACCTATAAGGCAGTGGGAAGATGTAGGGGTTTGTTCAGGGACCCTGCCCGGAGCCAACGACTCAACAGTCAGACCTGCTCGGCTGCAGGGGGCTGGCTTACCTGAGGGCGTAGGGAATAAGGCATTACTGTCTCATTCCTGATGCGCTGCGCACAGCAAGTGCCTTTTGAGCAGCACTGGGCTCTTTGGTTTTAAAAGTATTTCGACCGTATTGGATAATGCGCCGGCGGTCACTGTCAACCGTTGGGCGATCGGAGTGTGCGGTTTTTCGGGCCGACCTTTTCTAACCATCCATCCATCCTTGGGGAAGACAGCATCGCTACTTCCATAAATATGGACATGCTGGTCGCCTGGGGGAAACACCTTATCGCCTTCACACTCCTGTCGCAGAGGACAGTGCGAATTTTTTCCCGGACCGCCTCGTAGCACGATTACTCGTAGTACGAGGTCTCGCTGCTCTTGATCTGGCTGCTCCCCTTTGGCCTTGCTGGTATGGTTGTACCTTGTGGAACGAAGTTACAGCCAGTGTAGCCCACGGGATCATTGCAGCACTGAAGCCCGACCACCACGTCAATGTGGCAGCTTTAGGTCGGGTGCAGAATATCTAGCCAGAATGTGGTGAGTTTAAACTGAACTGGACAACATGGCGGCAAAACCACGTCAGATTATGAGTGGTTCTCTTATTTCAAGCCAGCCTGAGTATGCGACGTGCGTGAAATACATTTAACTGATCAGTGACCATTTTGTCGATATATGTTCACACTCGTCCTAAAAGCTTCAACCGATGGAGAATAAAAATGGCCGGAAATTAAAACTCAAAATGTAGTGAGAATACACGAGATAACCAAAACATCTGGGTTAGGCTTAATAAAGCTTAACGAATTGTAACAACAACCGTACAAAGTTGTCTTTTCGCCTCGGTGAGCTTTATTGATAAGGTTCGAACAGATTTAACCCTTTCTTGCAATGCCAGCACACATGTCACTAATTAGCATCCATCATCATGACTATACAAGGCACGACATTTATTGGGTACAAAATACAAAACAGGGTAAGCGAATAGCAGGGTTCAGTGTCAAATAAGCAAAGCTCCAGACTAACGGGAATTACAACCATTATTCCAGTAAATAATGTTTCCAATCCGAGGACGTGTATCCCTTCGATCCCCTGAATTCCTCCGGTTCGGAACCACCGTTTTGTCTTTAAAAAATTCACCCTTGACTTTACCCACGTTTCCACTTGCATTCATACGGCAGCTTAACAGAACTAAAGATTTAATACAGCCCAAAGCTCTTTAGGAGTAAAATTGTTGCATCAAATCCCTCTTTTGTTCTCTGCGTTTTCTAGTTTGATAAGTTGGGGGCATTACCTGTCGTATCTTTTGATCGAGAGAAATTTTGGTTTACATATTTATGGACTTTAATGCCAATTGGCTACGAAACATCTGTGAATTTTTCATGTGCTTGCTAGGGCTGAACTCTAACTGAACCCCAATATATTTAACAGCATAGTAAATCGTGATTCACCGGCTCACTCGGACAATGAATGGCCCATAGTAGACTCCAATAACAGCACTGAGATCCAGAATAAACGCAAATCAGTCGGTATACGGAGGACAATGGACTCAAATGTGGCTAACTCGGATCAGCTTGCAGAAGAAACGGAGAAGAAAGATAATGAGGAAATTCCGGAAGCTTCAGAAAGTAAAGAAGTACCATTCGAAAAATTTGATGGACTAAAGGCTACATCTACGGATGTGATTGAGTCTATAATCGAGCCCTCAGTTATTCAGCATCGCAGTGCGCAGCCGAAGCCGTATGTGTTAATCCCCGTTTGAACCATTTGCAGATTTGTTGGCGTTTCTGTTCGCTTCAGGTTTGTTTACGGTTATCTCCCGGAACGTTCCACATAGTTAACAGTCTATGAATGTTTAAAATTGGCACTAGAATTTCTGGGTTGTTTTTAGGCGATACACTGATGTAATCACGCTGGAACGTCTAAAAGGTCAATCAATACAAAAGTGAGCTTTTCCTCATTGCCTGGTTTCCCATTTGCCTGGCAACACAGATGCTGAATGAGCACTTAAAATAATAACCCGATTTTCGTCATTTCTCATTAAGGCACGTATCTTCTGGACACGAAGACAGCATTAACGATGTCAGTTCAGAAAGTGAGACAGAAGAAGAGGACGACGTTCCTGAGCATCCTGGAGAGTCACACGTTGATTTGCCATCCGAATACTGGCAAATCGGAAAAATCGTCAAATATCTAAAGGTAAATTCTGATCTGACTATACAGGTACAAACTTTGTGATTGCGGTGACTTTTTCATGAGAAGAAGGCCTTGCACACCACGAACTATATTCCTTAACGCAGTTGACCTTAGTTGGGGGAAAACCTCCAGGATTCTAATATTTTTATTTAATTGGAAACAGTTCACGTCAAATTTGAGCATGCTTTGCCCTAGACTAATTAATAAAGGCCATACTTTCACTCAAGATCTTCTTGGAGTGATGCGTTCACAGAATCATCAAATATGATCCTAGCAAAAGAAATCCCACAATGAGAAGTAACTTCTGTACCACTTGCAGATGATATCTTGACCGCGCGGTCAGATAGGGGGCAGACAACAATGGACCCCGACTGCTTCTCAGTTTCTGACATAAGAGTTATGGTTTGACTTTTTGCACTACTTGTGCGCACATAACTCCCTTTCGAAAGAAGATGGTGGGTTGCTGGCTAAAGCATTCCCCATCTATATTACCGATTACCCAGGACGGTTTAAGCATGCTAGCGCCAGATTTCTTCCCTCTTTTTTTCGCCCTGCACTGTATGCCAGTATTGGCACCGGACCGTTAAAGCATGTACAGAGGGAACATCGTACTAGTTAGTGAGAGTTTTATCGGTAAAACCTAACTATTCGTTGTCTCCAAAAGAAGGGGTTGCTTCACTAGAGACTTTGCTGAATTGCCTCTGTTCGGTCAGAAGCTTCCGAGAAGGGTAGGAAGAAGAAATTAGAAGAATACGAAAAGATACTCTGTAAGACCAAGCTAACCGGTGTCACCGGCGCCGTTGTTGTGTATTTTTTGCTACAGTATCTTAGTAAGTTTCCATAGGTGTGGCGCCTCTAAATGTTTTTTGTAGGCCTACACTAATTCCCTTCCCCATCTACGTTTATTTTTGCTTCACCATAAGTGTTTCAAATAAATTAAGGTTCTAAATCAGCAGAGTATCAGTGTTGAAAACTGCTGTTTTATCCATAATAACGTGGATAACATTTAACAACAGAGAATACGTCAGAGAATCAGTAAGTAGAGATTGTGCTCAGTGGAAAGTGATCAGTTTGAGAAAACGCCTCTTCCAAAAACTACGGGATATGACCAAACAATGGTTTAATTATTTCAATTTCGTATAAATCAAGATAGATTTTATCACCGGACTTCTGATACATACAGTCGAGCGCCCTCAATTTAGTCACTCGGTTTGTTCATTTATCTATTACCGTGCACCGCAGGTACATTGGTTCCAGCCGCTCCAGTTGCACCTTTCCCACAGGGAAGCTTGAAGCTGTGACATGCTATCAGCCACTAGTCCAAGTGATCCAAGTTCATGCACCTATATATGTAGTTAGCTTATATTTTACCTGTCTTCAATGTCAGCATTCTGAAGAATAACGGTTTTTCAAGTGTTTCTAGTTGGAGGACTAGGAAAATAATGGGAAGTAGACTTGATATATATATATATATATATATGTATATACACTAACTCCTTAACTGTTTAACTGAGTGCATGAGAAGGAAATCCAAATCGATGACAACTATGCGGAGGTAACTGTTGGCCGGGCGTGTCATACCACACAAATGATGAGAAAGTCTTTTATTCAAGCTTTTGTAGACTTTAATATATATATATATATACACTAACTCCTTAACTGTTTAACTGAGTGCATGAGAAGGAAATCCAAATCGATGACAACTATGCGGAGGTAACTGTTGGCCGGGCGTGTCATACCACACAAATGATGAGAAAGTCTTTTATTCAAGCTTTTGGCAAACCATGGGCTAACTGCATCTCAAACAATGCGAACAACCTAAATTTGTATCATCAACCAGATTACGGTTCAAATGCAAGGTAGACAAACTTGTTTCAGTGGAGCTTCATTCCAAATTGTATGATCCTCTAAGAATTATCTAGACTTTGTCTGGAGATGCCTCACGTCAGTTCGCTTTTGCAAGTCTTTTACCAAAGAAAGTTCTTGCTCTACTAAGAAGCTCGTTTAGTGCAAGAAAAAAGATGGGCTTAAAAATTCTTGATAAATTTTATGGTGAAATTTGTTTTAAGTGGATGGGTACGTAAACCAATAGATGAATAGATAAATAGGCTATGAATTGTGTTTAAAAGAGGCGAGATGAATGATTCAGAAGTTGATGATCCTAGTCATAGAGGAACGGTGAGATAGCGTGGATCATAAATTGTGGGTAGCAACACTCCTTAATCAAGGGATGGTGAGCGGATTTGTGATTCCCTTTCTAGAGACTGCTCTCAACTGCACATTTGTTTACGTCATCTTGCTGGTGTGCAGGAATTAAGCTGGCCGCAGTCAATCACGTGGCAGCATTGCTGTTATTGCCCAAGCTGTCGTCGTCACTAGGCTGGATGGACTCAGAGACGCTCAGTGAAAAGGTCAGGAGACTGACAATAGGAAAGGATCCGTTGTGGGCGTGCGTTAACAAAATTAGACGGACTGATACCATGTCCCTTTGCATCTGAGAGATATGCAGTCAAGCCTTAGCACTTTTTTATCCAGGGGAATCGGTGCTTACAAAACAGTTACTCGCAACAGGGTTTCTCTTATTTATGGTTTTCCCACAAAGAATGTGGGAATACAATCTCAAAACAATTTACTGAAAACATACAGAAATATTGTCTGGAACGCACAAGATAGACACATACTTTAAATGGATAGTTCGTCCTGTAAATGAAGCCAATCAAGGCTCACGAGCCAAAAAGCACTGGACAACTGTTTCATTCTTACTGGAAATCATTAGCATTTCATCTCTCACAAAAATCCAGGGAATATCACTCCCCTCGACCACGTTGCCAGCAGTTTGAGGTTTAAAAGTTCAGCCACGAGGAGATGATCAGCAATGTGATTAGGTCATACACAGGATACAGTGTCCCCTACCGCTCAATCACGGGACACACATCACTTGATTACAGGTGTTGACCGGCTCCTAGAGCAACCAGGCGGCAGTGGTCGTAGTAGTCAGTAGTCAGATTACCAGCCGCAAGACCATGGTTTCGAAACTCACCTACGTTCCTTGCGATGCCCGGTGATTTACAGTACGATACAGATTCAAAGTGCCTCTTGGATTTTTTTAAAATTCAGGTCAATTTAACGTAAAGTACGAAAACTATGTTAAAAGTTTCCAGATTTCCTAAGACTACCAACATAGATGCATTCTTCGGCATCGGAACTACCGTATTTTCTCCTCCAATGGGCCGAGGGACTGGCGTCTGTACATGAAGGATTGGTGTTCCCCTTACTGAAAGAAATTGTCTGAACATGAATTACATAGGTCACTAGAAAATTTCTTGAAACGCTTCCCATGAGTATAGCACAGGACGATAAATAGTCATCCAGAGACGGAATACAAGTTTAATTTTCATCTCAGATGGTGGATCTCAACGACTAATGACCTAATTGGGTAGTATTTTGAATCAGCTCAGCTAGTGTAACCGAATGTATATTTATTGCTTTTTTAAACAAGTACACAGTAAGTTTCCGACATCTACGTTTCATAGCGTTATCTCTTCTGCAGAAAATCATGCAATAGCTTGATGACAGTGGAAAGATAGTGTTTAGAGAAAAACTCTGATCAGCAGGGGAAACTGAAAGGTGTGAAGCAGCATTGTCCACGACTGATAGCTATTTGTTTCCTCGGTGAAATTCAAAAATGGACACTGTGATTCCCCGTTTTATCTGCTTTATTGAAACCCAAAATTGATTGGATACACATTTCACTGAAGGTGAATGACTTTTAACTTGGGAAAACCAACACGCATGCCCGTCTAACTGAACGGCCTTGGGGGTATCTAGCATGTGTTGTAGAACTAAAAAATAAATAGTCGTTCACCCTTTCGGTATCTGGGTGTTATGGCATCCGTAGGGAACTATAGGGCGTAGATACAACCAGCTTGCTCAAGCCTAGACATGAGAAGCCCGGTGCCGGGTTTGGATTAAAACCCAAGTAGTATGCTTACTGACTGATTCTGAACTGACTAAATAAGAAGAGACAGACTGAGTCGGGCGTTCCACCTAGATTGACGAATATGTGTCTCCCAATCTCTGTGAATCGGGAAATCACCGACAGGTGTGTGTTTACAGTGTGTCATTAGCAATTGCGGTTGGGTGAACCAAAGTTTACCAAATATTCAAGCTATAATCATATCATTTCTAAATCACTGTTCAACAGTGGTTTAATAATGTATGATCAGAGAACACGAAAACGTGTTTGTTCATGCTAAGGTGCGCAAACCAGGATCACAGTGGTTCTAATGAGAACCGACGTTCATCAGTCGGTTAAATGGACAATTTTATTTTCACTCAGGGTGGAAACCAAACCTCGACGATTATCTCACTGTGTGCGCTGTATGATATGCCTTTGAATACCGAAGTCTGCCAACTGGCTGTTCGAGACGTTGGAGGGCTCGATGTTCTGATAAACCTGTTAGAAACCGAAGAAGTTCGATGCAAGGTAAGTTGGTGAAAAGTGACTACTTCTAGCACAATATATTACCTTAGCTAATCTCCGCAACTATGGGGTTTTTGGGAATGGCGATTTGCCTGAAAAGGCAAGGCAAGTTATCACTCCATTCACTTGTACCTTCTGAATAAACCATGACTTGTCCAAAGGGCCCACCGATCCTGCATGTCTAAAAAATTCTGAAGCAGCGATCTCATACAAAAAATTCGATATTCACTACAGAACAGTTAACAAAATACAGCCACGCAGTAATAATAAAAAATCATAATAATCGTCTAGATGTATAACCTGTGCGGTACCTAGCTACCATGCTACCTGAAGGAAGCACGGGAGCTGTGAAACTGTCAGGTTTATCAAGCCTGGACGGGAGCAGTCGAGATACATACGTGGGCTTCAAAACACGGACCTTCCAGTCAGCAAATTTGCCCTTCAAACACTGAGCCAACTTGAACATACGGTAGCTGATATTTTATCCAGTTGTGCAAGTTCAAAGTACACCTATAAAGTTTAATTTGCGTGCTAAAAACTTCCAGTGGAGCCAATGGAGTCAGCTTTGACAACCGTTTAGGAACCAACATGGAATCAACATGTATTGCCCCAACTAGGTGGCAGGCTGTCTCGGTACTCAAAGAAGCTAATGAAAATAGACAATATTGATCCAGTTGGTGCACCACGGTTCTGAGGGATTATCATTTTGCTTTATCTCTGCTTGATGAAAGCCACGAAAAACACATTCACAAGTAGGATTACTTGTTAGTACACATCTATGAAATGCATGAGGGTGTTTATATGGGAAACGAATACGGTCTTCCTTGATCGTTAATTATTATTATTATTGTTCAACCAAGTATACTGCTCAAGGGTGACGTTGCGTCCCGTTTCGCAAGATAGGGATGTTTTTGGTCCAACGTTATTTATGGACTCAAGGAAAACTCACCGACAAGCCAATAGTGGTTCTGTCCTTTTGGGTTTATGGGAAAGACTGAGATTATCAAAGAGTAGAACTCTGAATTGAGCCAGTGTCTAGCCGCAGTGAATATTTCCGTAACATGCTTAATAGTATTTTGTGACTAACATCCTTTGTATCCTAGAAAGTGAAGCAAATTAAACATCGGGTGCTCTTTGTCAGCGAGAGCGGTTGAAAAACATCACAAATAATACATAAGAGTCTCCCAATTTTGGAGTTAACATCCAGTTAAGTGTTCATGTATTCAGTAACCGTTTAAGTGCAGAGCAATATTGATGGAATTTCGGGGACTGTGCCCATTTGATAAACCCGAAAATGGCAGAAGCGATACTAAGGTGTAAGGCATTGCAATCTTATTAGTACCATCGCATCTAGGGAATGATTTCTAGATTGTCCTGGAAGCTGTGAAACAAAATAATCTCAGGCACAGTATTCTGCAAATTACCTGACGTTTTCACACAACTGTGAGTATAATTTCTACTTGGAGCCAGTCAGCTTGGCGAAGGGCGCAGACACACAGTTGCGGTTTTCATTATTTTTATTCGCTACTTATCATCTCCAGTAGCTTGTTGCAGCAGTATATAAATTGTCCTTATGTTTTCTGAATATGATTTCAACCTGCTAGTTAGTTCACATTTACGCCCACGAGAACGGCTCAGAATGAAACATTAAGGTAAAACATCGTAGGCTTTTTCACAGCAATTTATGTAGTTCTGAAATAATGTGTCCGCATACTTCAACGCAGTTGACCATGAAAATTATTCCAAAAATTGACTGTTTCCGTTTAGGCATGTAGCAAAACGCAATTACGTAGGTAGATACACAGGAAGCATGACTTGTTATGTGCTGGATATTGCACTTGGCAACGCGGTCTCCTGATAATGTTGTTTCACAACACTACTGTTCGAGTTCAAAATAATTTCAGCGGCATACAGTGGTTACAGCGTTTAGTTTTCCTTTGCGTAGGCATGAAACAATAAATCCCCCGTTTTCAACTAGCTTTTAATGAAAAATTGTGCTCCATTATGCACGGTTCTTATCAATTTTAGAGTATATACATGTCTGGTTTTACGAGTGACACCACCAGCACCTTGACTTCCTACGGTAGAAATCTTAGCTACTTTAAACTCTGTACCGCACTAGTTCTAGCATTTAGAAGGCAGAAACGTAATATGTAACGAATGTATCACTATTTTTCGCAGCCTTATGTAAGACATCTTAGGCGACAGTCGGGACGAGACATGATAAACAGACTTTCCTAAAGGCACAAGCAGAATTTGTTGAAATCCAGATTACCTGGTCAAATATCACTGGTCAAAAAATTTCATCCTCTTCAAAATGAATATTTTTATTCAAAACTAACTCCAGAACTCAGTTGAGTGACACAATTGACCAAGATATTGGTGGAAAATTTTCGAAAAAAGCAATAAGTTATCACAAACTGATTTTTTATTGTAATTTTCACGTAAAGCTCGGATCGCTGAAGATTCTGAGGGAAATCACGAAGAATTCCAAAATTCGACGTGCTATCGCAGACGTGGGAGGGCTCCAGCCGCTGGTCAATTTATTGCGCAGTCCTAACAGAGACCTGAAGTGTCTTAGTGCCGAAGTGATAGCAAACGTTGCAAACTTTCACAGAGCTAGACGAACTGTCCGCCAGTACGGTGGAATCAAGCGCCTGGTAAGTTATTACACTAGCGTGCTCGCCCTGTATGATCTGTTCAACACGTGACCCAACCACAATCAGACGCGTACTAGCGGTCGAGTGCATTCGAATTGTTGGTTGTGATTAAAACAAAGAATAGAGGTCAATAATTCAAAAAGCACAATTTTGCTAGATTTATGTTTGATCCACTTTGTTATTGGGTCAAGCATTCACACTGCTGTCCTGTCTTGGTGTCCGAAACGTCTCCATTAGGGTGAGCCAGAACCAAGCGTAGCCGACCGAAAATCGGTAGACAGAGTTAAAGCGTCTGTGATCGTAGCTGACTTGGGGATCGTGACAACTAGGATGACAAAATCAGAACAGCTACCGGGTCGTTGTCCACTCCAAAGGACAAACAAACAACGTTGTCCCAACTTGGACGAGTTCATCTATTTTGGTGCAGTTATTTGGATGCTTCCAGTGTGCTTTGGTAGGATTGTGTTGACCTACCAACCTGGCTTGGCAGAGGTCTGAGGCCACGATTCCGGCATGCTGCAGAATATGCGTCGCTGATGAGCTGTAATAAGAGCTTCTTGATCCTGGCGTGGACTCACCGGATTAATTTCACGAGGACAGATAGAGCACTGCTCCAACGAGTGACTACAAGTTACACACAACCAGCAATTAAGAACAGGTCGTAATCACAATTTATATTTCATTTATATGTTGAAGATAACTGACAAAAAGTTCATACCACTTAGGATAAGCAGCTGTCCGAATGAATTTGTACAAATTTGGTAAACTAAGTCTGTCCATAAAATACTACTCTTGTGAAGAACACTGGGGAAAAGCCGTGGCATTTCACTTTATTTTACGCATAGTGGCAATTTCGCCTTACACTTCTGGTGGATGAGGAATTAGGTTAACACAAAGAATGCTCATTTGACTATAGGAGGGAAAGGAAACTCCCAATGCCGTTCAAGGTCAACTTCGGTCAAGGGAATTAGTGCTCAGTTTGGAGGTGTCCTCAACTGTGGAAATTAGTTGGAGCAGTGGCCCTCTGTTCTTAGGTACACGTTGTTGATTTTAAGAGTGTGCACCTACTCTTTGCTCTTTGCATTTCACAGAGTTAATGATTTTGAACATTGGTAGCTTGAGTCCTTGAGATCATGGGTTTGTTCCAAGTAATCACTTCGGTGTGATATGGAGAAGAAAAGTAGTTATATAATTTTAATACAGCCAAAAGAATGCTCTGTCGTGTGCAATGATAACATGAAAATGTTCCACTACCGTATAATGAGATGTGTGCCTAGACAATCGCTGGTTTTTACTTGATGGAGAACAAACCTCATTCAGCGCTCCGTAGTGAGAGGTGCACAACACTTTTTCAGTATTATTGCACTCGTTAATAGTAACTATACCGTCATACTAACATCTGGTCAGGATACTAGATATTGTACACCATGAACTAGTGTTCTGCTGAAAACTATCCCCTTGAGGGACTACTGCTTACCCGAAGATCTCAGTGACCATTCAAAAATTTTACAACCCTAGCTGCCGTGGATTTACGCGGGTGGATTTGGGTCTTGAGCTCATAATTGCGTTTGGAGTATGCGCTTATTGTTCAAATCTACATGGTTTGCTTTCCTCAGAGGGTAAACTTTCTCGAGAAACACAAGGCGATTTCGCTATGGAATCCAGACTGACCCCCAAATATTTGCATGCAAGTTAATATTCACGTGGACCAGATTGATTCTCCATACTTTCATGAATTTTGACCAGGTTATCATGACTTTGTTTCGTCGTGTGTTGTCGGTGCTAAAGTTTGCGCCTGGTGACAAGTATCATTTTGAGCTCAAAAATGCCATCAAATAATCAGACACACCATGCAGTCCCACAATCTCAAAGGCTTATCTTTATTCTTGCAAGTAATCTATATCACCTGGTGAGACTACTCAGTGAAGGTGAATGTATTCTAAACTAGAGTTATGGGACAAGTTCTCAAAATTCACGGACAGTCTATGGTCGGTTTCGAAGTGCTTAACTGTTTACAGACTTAGTTTTTGTACATTTTCTTGACTAAATTAACAAATAATTTCTGTGTATTCCAGGTCGCACTGCTCGACTGTTCAAGCTTAAATGCGATTCCCATGACCACCGATGTAGAGCGAGATATTGAGGTCGCACGCTGTGGAGCTCTAGCTCTGTGGTCTTGCAGCAAATCTCGGAAGAACAAACTAGCTATGAAGAAGGCTGGCGTGATATCACTTTTGGCTCGCTTGCTAAAATCCCCTCACGAGAACATGCTGATTCCTGTGGTGGGAACTCTGCAAGAGTGCGCATCGGAGGTAAGGAGTTACGCACACTCGCGAACATCCCACATTGCACACAACAGTATGTGACTTATTTACAAGTGTCCTTATTGATGTGAATGGTTGAAAAGTGTTTGAAGACTGCTGTTAAGGGGAACTGATGTTTGTAACAATCGAATTCTCATTGGTAAAAAGATAAACCGTAATATATGAACAAAGAAATATTGTACCAGTATTGTCTCAGTACTCGAACCTTGAGTAAACTTCCATTTTCAGGGGTTTAGTTAGGTCAAAACATTTCCTGGCAGTTAAGTAAGAAGCACAGTTAATGGTGGACTTCAGCATATTGCTACAAAAACCTTAGAGTAGTGTACACGATTTATAGCTGACGCGCATCAAGGTAACCCTCTTGGTTTACCGGGAAGATTGGTGTGTTCGTGGATAACCAAACTGCGTTTTGACAAGAGGATGCAGCATGGACTGATATTTTTCCATCGAAGACCGCAGTGCTGCGGCCGATTACCATCATTGTTTTTGAGCCAGCTGACTCAGAAAACAATTTCTGCCGTTGGGTTTTTCAGTCGTTATTCTGGTACGAATCACAACGAGCCATCTACTAAATGTGCTCTATGGGTTAACCTCACAAAAGTATTAGATTTTTGTGACAAAAGATGCGGCGGTACATTGAATTAGTCGGAATCGCTTCGCGATATACAGAACAATAAACACTGCATTTTAAGCTAGCCACTCGGAGTTGGTCGTAAGGGTAGCGAAGCTGATGGGAGATGGACGGGGCCGAGTAGATTTATGCTTATAAGATCTTTGTGTCCATAGGGAGGATTCAGTATTCTGTCTTGTATTTTGCTCATATGAATTTTGTCAGTTTTTGTGCTTGTTGCTGGCTTGAGCTGTTTCGCTACAATTTGGATAGCAGAAAGAAAGAATAGGAGAAGAAACAAATACAATCCGCATGAAGCAACTAGAAAAAGTGGTTCGTTGGCATCCAACCCTGCAGCATATACACTGCTAAATACCGTTATAATAAAAAAACTGACATTCAAATAGAAGTGAACCAGAGTTTTCGTGAGAGATTCGATGTTTAGGTGCTGCAGTCTCCGGATTAGGTGAGTCTGGTTTTCAACCGGACATTAGAAGTTAAGAGAAGCTTTCAGTGATAAATGCCGCTAATTGTGTGCTTAATAGCAGTGAAACAGGTAAGACTTCAGAGGCACCGATGTCTGCACATGACGCAGACACTTGATGTTTAAATCTATTTTGGTGAATGTATTCATAATGGTCAGAAGTCAGACAACTGTATTTGCTGAGGCCAAACCGTCAGATGGCCTTGGCGGCCATCTTTTATCCTAAGGGGCTAGTTGTTCAGGAGCAAAAAAAAACAATTTTGTGCTAATTTTCCAATGTACTACTGTTCAGCCTACGTACCGGGTCGCTATCCGAACAGAAGGAATGATCGAAGATTTGGTGAAGAACCTGAAAAGACCAAACCCCGAGCTTCAGATGCATTGTGCATCTACCATATTTAAAGTAGGTTGGTTTTTTATAGTGCAATCCATTTAGCTTGATTTACATGAGAGAGCCCTCACAACAAACGTAAATAGTACTCGGGAGTGGGTTTCAGAAAAACAATAAATATCAGACTATCCTAGAGTGATCGTATTTTCAGTATTCCAACGAATGACACAGAAAGCTCATTTTGGCATATTTTTGTAAACAGTGACAAAAGATTGCACAAAATATGCGACATACACATTAAATTTTACTGCTCCTACGATGCTAAATTAAACCTCTGTCTGAAAATAATAAATCAAAATTTTCTCAAGTATTTTGTAGGCATAATAGGAGGGAGTAGAGCTCTGTGTGCTAAAAGTTAATAGTTTTATTCAAGTTTGCTCAACGGTTTGTCAGTAAAATTTGTCCATAATAGAAGTGATAAGCGCTTGGTAAGCTGCCAGTATGAATTTAGGTTTCCATGAAAAAAACGATAAGATTTGCGACAATGATTTGAACATAAAAATGTTTGTTAACTAAAGTTTGGCACAGGGATTTTATTGGTGAAAGTTAGTTAACTAAATTTGTCCTTTGATCTGTCACTTCTCTTGGCAAGGTTTACTGAAATAAAAGAATTTTTCTTCCTTTGAGGCACTGCATGGGTACCATGAACTGGGTCATGTCTTACATCGCTAGGATAATACCCTGCGATAATAGCAGCATCGATATCCTTATGATTGGAAAATGCAAATACAGCTGAGTTTGCGCCAACGTATGTGATGTATGATGTTTCACTGACTCGCTTTTGAAAGTTTGAGTGAAGCTCACGATCATGCGTAGAATTTTTTTGGTGGGTCAATAAAAATCCTATATTTATGATGAGCTTTACAGCTGATTTCGGTCCTGAGCAAGCCAAATTGAGAATAAAACAAAACATCGAGGCAAACTGTTGCTATCTCCACATGGATCGACGTTAAAATTGTTTCATTTTGCTTGGAAGGATATAGCCGTATTATTTTGGCTAAGAACCGAAGTGGATTTAACTACCTGGATTATACAAAAAACTAAAATAGCTCACTTGAAAGCACTTGAATACACAGGCTGAAAGCTACAAGAAGTCAGAAATTTCATGCTAGCTTCAAGTGGTCCTGTAAAAGTTTTAACAAAGGAATCACTTATCGAAAAATTTGAATAGTGAGTCGCGTGTATTGTCAAATTTGTGAGATCAACGAGTGCTTTAGTGTACCAAAATAGATGTTAGTCTGACATAGTGATTCAACGGTTAACCGGTGCATTGAATCTGAGACGAGTAAACCTAGGCGTGTTATTCAGCTTCCAGAATGGCGCTGAAGTTACTTTTGTGTCCAGTTGTAAATAATAAAGCATGCGGCCACTCCCATACATATGTGGCACCAATGCCAAGGGTTTTTACACATAGTGCTGAATTTTTAAAGTTCTGTGCACCTGAACCGTGGTAAGCTAGTACTATCCTTTGCAATACAGTAGAGTACAATATACTATATGTGTATGAAACACAAGGACCCCGCAGTTTCTCAGTGGCAGTGACATCAGTGATGATGATCAGAAAAAAAGTAGTCACATAGATTATATCTCCTTCAATTCCCCAGTTGTCGGTATACCTATGCAGTTGAATTTGGTCTGTTTTACGAATAAAGTTTCTGAGTAGACAGTGCATCTTTCTTCGACCAGGAACAGGCCCATGTTTTTCATACCGACAATTTTCTTCGCTTGTCGAAATTCTGGATACCTAGACAGGTATAACCAATATTGGCACAATCCAGTTGCCATTTTCCTAGTGAATTACGTCATCCTTCTGACCTCTCAAAGGAGTGTATAAAGCTAAGTATTCTGACGACTGAGTCTAAGTGAACTGCTTTCCTCATTAACAGGGAATGGGAAATAACCAATAGGTAACGTACTGTACCACTTTTGATCCTTGGTTGTACCGATGTTCATGTGTGTGCGCGAAGTAAATAATGCAGATTGCTAGAAGTCAGTCAGCAGATTTACATTTGTCACCTGCATTGTCTGGTATTTATCAACACCCCTCCTGGGGACAATGAATGTGGAGGTTTTCCAACCTCGAAATTACACGCTTCACCAGTTTAACATGTTTTACCATGTGAGCGTGAATTATCGTTCACTGGATCTAAACACTGATAGTTTGCGTTTGTTGCAAGCAACCTACAACGTCCAGCGGCTAATCTTATTATCGACTAAACACAAGGGAAATATAACTATCATAAAACTCAGCGCGCAACGAGGACCAGAAGTTTTAAATTGGAAGGTGACCGGAATGACCTCGATATCAAGCACTACGGAAAACAAACAAACAGTATTCTGTCATCCCAACAGTTTCAGTTTTGAAAACATTGAACATATATCCTGGTTACTACTGTATTTTGAACACATGACTAAAACGGGCAATTTCGCATTCGTTCACCAATTCCAAAGTTTAATCCTTGCCCCCGGGAGCATAAAACTACTAGCAGTGATCATTCAATTGTTTAAGATCATGATCGTTGCTTAATAGGACTGATAAAGTGGATCGAAATTCGCTTAATGAGAGATAAGGCTAGGACGGAGAAAGTCCTAAACTAGAAGCAGAGAAATAGCGGTTGGTAACTGATAATAAATTACGAGTTATACTCATCTATGTTTTTTCGACCCGAATTGCTAATCCTTTGAGGGAATATTCAATTTTTAACACACCATTGTTTTTAGTGTGCTGAGGAGCCAGAAACTCGTGATCTTGTTCGACTCTACGGTGGTTTGGAACCACTCATTGTCCTCCTGACCAAGCAAGACAATAAAGAACTCCTGGCAGCCGCAACTGGAGCGATATGGAAGTGTGCAATCTCAAAAGAAAATGTAGTACAATTCCAAAAATTGGGTGTGATCGAAAAGCTCGTGGGACTATTGAATGAACAACCGGAAGAGGTAAGTTAACAGATTCCGTTCACCAAAAATCACATAAGCATTAGTGAAAGCCGTAATAAAACGGATTAATTTTGTGTTTTTGTCTTGTTGGATGGATTTGGAATGGTCTCTTGAAAGTTTTTCCAATATTTAAGAAAACACTTCTACGCGATATATCCAACGCAATGATGATGTTACCCCAAATGATGGAGTGAACTCGTAAAAAATATTCTAACTCTCGAGCCCCGTCAAGAAGTGATAAATGATACTACTTATAGTATGGTTTTGGGCTCAATTTTTCACTCTGTAGATTAATTCAAGTTTCTTGAGGAAACTAGTTGAAGGCTTCAGAAACTGAGAAACTAATGTGCGATTTATTCTGAATGTTGGCATTACATAAAACAAAGATTCCGCAAGGTGGTTTACTGAAGAAATCAGTGGCCTGTACGGTTTGAAGTCATGCCATACAAGCGGGTTCTTCTAATGCTCGGCCTTCGATCTGATGGGGATTAAGATCTGTGCTACGAAGAATATATTGGCCTGTTTCAAGATTTTTATCACCAGCCATTTTATTCCCAGGTTAGGAACTGCAAGAAGTCCAATTTAAATCAAGCACGAAGCAACTAATATCCCTTATTTGAGCTGATTAGCAGAAGACACCTCACCTATAGTCTAATTAAAGGTACATCCTGAGAGTAAACCCTCGAACGAACGCTTAAAGAAGTAGAAATGCGCATGAAATGTGAACGTTTGATGATGAAAGATGGCCGCTTAACTGTAACCAAAGGGTTGAACCGTCTAAAGATATTTTATTGGTACGTAAATATAGCGCTTATATTGGCGCATACGTCAAAACAGAATTACTAGTTAATTGGTCGCTAAATGACCGTAAACCATCGTGGAGCGACGCTTTACCTGTCTCGGTAACAAATTAAGCCGAGGGTTCGTTGCTGGACTGGATACCCGTGAACCGACCCTGTGTTGTCCGAGATTCTATGAAAGTAAGCCTCCTCGACGGTCAAACTACCAAAAGTTCTTTTCTAGTCATGTCAGCTTATCAACCAGAAAGACCGATTCATTTTACGACATCTCCCTACGATATTGTCCATCAATGGAACTTTTTGAAATGGTCATAATAGCGGGAGATTTCAATACACGGAAAGACTCCTCAGACAATGAGAATCACGCCTCAGTAGTGACGTTTAACCTAAGGAAAAGTAAGTGGACGCCATTTGTTACTTCGTACTGATCACCAATTGTTTCACGGCAGTACAGGGCTTAGACGCGATCGACGGCATTGTGCTACGAGTCCCCTAACAGCTGAACAGCCTTGGGTATAAAGGGATCGAATCGCCAATAGCGGTCAATGACGTGGTACAGACCTTGACTGCTAGTGGTTTCAGAATGCACGGGTTGATTCAAGTCATGCTTTTGTTTGGTGCAGATTTTCATTGGACATTCGTGCTAAAATCCAGAAATCAGCCCATTATTTATCGGAAGAAAAAGATCCGCGGGGAATGGACCAGAATACTCCAAGCGTAAAGAGGTGTTTACATTAAGCGCTGTGGGATGTTCTCACCCTCCTGTCTGGGGCATCACATAATCCCGCTTGCAGGTGATGGGATTCTCCATAGTTTGCATCATCCCACTTTTGCCGAAGATACTTGTCCTACCGTCCCTCTCTTTAGCTTCCACCCTAGAGCGCATCAAGAAGACTGTTGTCATGTTGGTTCCGTCATTCACATTTATCGGTTTAATGGAAGAAAATCAGTAGCCTCTAGTAATGAAGAAAACAGATTTGGCTTACGATCACTAACGTTCATTTAGTCGCTCTGAGTGGCTGATTTAGCACAACGTAGTATCCTTCCTATATATGGCAGAACAAACTTCCTGCTGACAGACAGGAGTTGAAACCACAAGCCACAGTGTCTGTAAAGCATAGTGGACAGATTAAGGANCTGTGTATCCTTCCTATATAGGGCAGAACAAACTCCCTGCTGACAGACAGGAGTTGAAACCACAAGCCACAGTGTCTGTAAAGCATAGTGGACAGATTAAGGACATTTTCTCTGTAAACTCCTTTAATTTTATGTATACCACACAGCACAGGAATAAAAAATGTATTGCCTTAAATGTTCCCATTAAAGACAAGTCTCTTTAGACGGAGAATTTACGGAACTCTATACTGTAGCCCATAGATCGACGTAGGTAGATCTCTGAATAGCTCAATCGTTAAGGCGCGAACTTACTGGCCGGAAGTTCAGCGGTTCGAACCATCTGTAGCTCGACTGCTTTCCTCTACGCTTGGGCAGCTTGGCCCTACTTCCGCCTTGTACTTTCCTCGCGTAGCGCAACAACTGGGCACCGAAGGATTGTTGCATCTGAACAGTTGACCGATTGGTTGATTAGCTGATATTGTAGTCCAATTGGGATGCAACACTTACTTGCTGTCTGGGATTCAAAGTTGTGGTCTCCCATTCACCTAGCAAAGCATGTTTGTTTGTCTGTAATCTAGAACTTTTTAAAGGGATTGATACCAGACAGAGATAGGCCAAAATTTCAATTTTTTAAGGGTAACTTAGCGAATTGTGCCTAACCGCAGAAAGTTCACATAAACTTTTCATGGCTACGTCTCATCCACCGGAGAGGTCACTAGTATCATCATCAAGAATCATTTTTGATATGTATGTGTATAATCTAGCATAAATATACCACTTTTTTTGTATCCTCTTGCAGTAAGCTAATAGTTGCACAAAAGGCATGAAATCTGAAGGCATATGTTCCTTACGGTTCTACACTACCAGCAACCCTTCAGCACACCCTGAATAAAGAAACTCATTGTAGCCATTGTCTTAAGAGTATCCGTCCCAGCACAGTGACAATCTTCATCGTCTCGGTTTTTGCGTGAAGCCCTTCTGACTGCACAACCTCGGTAATTGTAGCCACACATCAGCAAACACTGTATTCATTTGTAAATTCAACGATTAGATAAACAATCATTATAAAGATTCACTGTGCTTCACGGACTTTGTCATGGCAATTCCATATGTCTCCATTAGTGTGGTGCGTCTGGTTCCGATCTATTTCATGAGGGCCCAACAAAACATGTAAGCACTGACTTGTAAATATATATAAAAGTGTCAAGGTGCAAAGGCAATCCCAAAAGCCTTCGATTTAACCTCTACGAAAGTAGGAAACTGAAAAAAACCACAGTATAGAAATTAAAGAGTAGTATGCTGGGAATCATGAGATAAGCTCACCAAATAAGACTAGCTATCTCTTACTAGGCCAAGTAATTAGACAACTTCTAATGTTAAATCTTTCTACTGAACGAAAACCGTCAGGAAACAACATTCGTCACGTTTGTAATTTTGGTTTGTGTGAAAGTTCTGGATCAGTTAAGCCTCAAGTTGTCATGTTGCTCCTATTTTCTACTGAGTGACCAAAAATAAGAAAAAAGACTAATTTCGTCTGCGTGTTTCCATTTTAGATGTCCACGTACCTTTATGTAGAATCTGTCTCACCACGAATACAGTTGGTATTAAGAACGGAAAAAGTAACGCCATCTGATATTATTGTTTATAATCCGTTGTGTCAAAATATTGTTCATTTGCGGTCCCTTCAACAATGGATCGCCTTGACGTTCGCGTTCGTTTTATTGTTTGTTTTTTGTCAAACGCACGGAGGTAATCTTTAAAATACACACATTAAACTAGGGAGTATCCAACGTAGATATAAACAAAACAATTTATTTCCTCCAGATTTTTCTTTTCTTAGTTCTAAGGCGTCATATATTACCACAGTGGTGAAGTCAAAAAGTACGTTGTTCCCACTGTTAGCGTATAGAAGCAGGTTAGTAGGATCAATTTCACTTGCAAGATGAAAAAATACACTGATAGAACGATATTTCGTATTGTCTTGTTTCACGAAATAAGGCCATTAGTCTTCTTGTACTGAGCGAAAAATAAGGTACACATTGGTCTGGAAGCTGCAGAAGAAATCAAAACTATTAGAATGACAAATAAACCCAGCGTGACAGGTTAATAGCGGAAACTTGAAGGAGTGTGGGGGTTCTCTTCACGCCTTATTCGTACCCACTCACTGATCGATGGCTACTCTTAATACTGTGACTGTTTTACACTATATATTTTGTCAGCAACGTGTGTTTCCATGACATAATTAGAACCAAAATGGAGTATCTACTGCAAATTAGGCAATCATTTTTTGGTAACAGACAAAAAATAAGATTGGGATGTTATCACCGGTCGCTTTCATAAATTCCGAGCATTGACATTCATGTTGAAATCTTGTATCTTGAGCACAGACAGAAACGTGAGGTTAAATAAATTCTAAATTGCTACTGGTGCTTGACTGGTCTGGCCCCAATCACAAACAAATGATCAGGTCCTGCCCTTGGTATCGCATAAGCCATTGGCTTTGAAGTACCACCACAAACCGCCTGACAACCTTGTGTCGTAAATTTCCGTCGACCAGTCTCATCAGTGAAGCTACAAAAAACTCCACATTTCTGGAAAAAGAAACCTAGAAACCATAACGTTTCTGCCCCTCCATACTCACTTAATATCTGAGCAGGGACAAAAGACCGCGTATGTTTCTGCAGCTGGAGATACGAACACACATTTTTTGTTTAAGATCCCGTTCTCTTTTTCCGTAACACTTACTTTTCCAGAAGGAATGTATCATGAGCATTTTTTACAATTGGACGGACAGCTGACCGCCGAGCGTCATCCATTGTCCTAAAACCCCCAATTTGTCTCTCGTGTGAAGTTGTTTATTTGGTACTATCTGTATGTACACATACATGTTAGCACCCGATGTAAATTTGCCTGTTTGTCGGGGTGATCGAGATTTGGTGCTGTAAAGATTTTGCAGACCATGCTGAATGTGAATCAATTCTGTAAGGCATAACCATTCCAGGAACGCCAATAGGGGGGGGATGCAGGACATTAAGTCCTCATATTACGAAAAATCGTATGGCGAGATGGTCTTGGGAAATTGTG